TCCTTGTGGCCCTGGTGGACCGCAAGGTCCTTCTGGTCCTGGAGGACCTGGTGGGCCAGGTGGTCCCATATCACCTAAAAACGAATATTTGAGCCTCTGCTTTCTAACAAGGTGAAGTTGACGTTTAGTACCAGAGTTATCAGATTAACCGACTTACCAGCTTCCCCAGCCTCTCCTATGATTACTTCGCTAACTCCATCCTCACCACGTTCTCCCATCTGCCCTTGCATGCCAACAGCACCTTGTAAGCCCATTTCACCAGCTGCTCCTGGTGGACCTGGAGGACCGTCAGCTCCATCCAAACCTGGAAGACCGTCTGGTCCTGGATCACCTATTGGTCCTGGTGGGCCGGGTGGGCCAGGTGGTCCTTCTGGGCATGGTTTACATGGTGGTGGTGTGATTGGAACACATGGTTCAAGATTTGGTTTGCCTGGTTTTCCTGGTGGTCCTTGTGCTCCGGGTTTTCCAGGTTTTCCTGGACGACCAGGTGGACCTTTTGGACCAGGCTCACCACCAGTACAACACTCATCACAATTGTAGCTCGCTGCTCTTGCGGTACGATTTCTGACAGCGTCGAATCGCTTCAGAGCTCCTACTTCAGACCAAATGTCTTTAGCGGATCCCTTAAAAATATATTTAAAAAAGTGTTGATTTTAAATGAGAAATTTAATTACATTTTTATAAAGAATAAAGTCCAAAAAGTTTGAATCAAAGCTGGATGTTTTTTTTTGCTGTCAACCTATGTTGCTAGAAATTTTCTAAAGTTACATAGTGTTTTTGTAACTATACATAATGCTTAATAAATTGAAAAACTATCAGTTAAAATTATAAAAAAAAATCTTTCGAAAATTGAAAATTTATCACGACCATGAAAGTTTCTGTTCATGAATTGCTGCTATAAAACAGAAACTTTTTTTTTAAAAAAAGGAAAACGAATTTTATTGCGTAATATAATGTTAGCAATTTTTTACTCAAAAGAAAAAAGTTCAAATGGTTGAGTATTTGTTTTTTTTTTTTTAACGAAATGTTTAACTGCCGCTAAGCAACGCTTTTCAACTGTTCAAAATAAATGTATAATTTTACAACAAAGTCTTTATGACAGTTTACACAGCGCTCTATGTTACATGTTCCCAAATGCAATTCTTAATTTTACATTGTTAGGATAACAAAAAAGAAAGAAACAGAAAAAAGGAAATAAGGAACATAAATGTTTTCCATAACTCTTTCTCGGCTTTTTCGCCAACTTCATTAAAATTTTAAATTCAAATACCTCTCAAATTAGAACACTGAATACTCAAAAAATTGAATGTTAAAAATGAAATAGGAATAGAAAGTAAAAATGAACAAAAAAAAGTCGATTTGCTTAATAGTTACCAAAACAGCACCATTATGTATTGGTAAAAAAAAAAGATAAAAAAAGTAAAATAAATAAATAGATGAGAAAGTAAAAGTTGGTTAATTGGTATTATACCTGACAGTATCTGAGTTCATTGTTCATTTGCCATTGCACCTGATTAACATAATTGTGGATCATCGGCAATGCAATACATACGGACAATACGGAAACCACAGAAAACGTTATTGCCGCATAGGAGGCAAACTTATACGCCTTTATTCGGGTTTCCTCCATTGCGGAAACTCAGCAAGTGACACTGTGGTAGCTAAATTTTCACCTTTATATAGTCTATCGGCAGAAGCAATACCACTCATTTGTTGCCATATTTCACTTTTTTTTTTTTTGTTTGTGTGTTTCTCAAAACACTTCGTTCCTTTTTTTTTTTTTTATTTTTTGTTATTCTCTTATGTCAGTTGTTGCATGGCAACTTTTAGTTTTTGGCTTCTTTTTCTAGTTGGTTATTTTACTTTTACTTTTTTTTTTCCTTCTGTTGATCGTTTTGCTATGCTACTTATCATTCTGTACTTTTTTTAAGACTTGTTTCTTTATTTCTTGTTTTGTTTTTAACGTTCACTTTATACAAGTAATTTTTTTTTTTTTTTTT